GACACGATCATCACATACTTTATTTAATACGTAACCCCCAGCTCAACACCCTCCCTACCTCTCAGTGGCCCTCTTCACGGATATCAACCGATAGTCCACACCGATAAGATTAATATTGAGCGGCCACGTTCGCATTCAATGCGAACAAATTCCCATTTCACTTACGAACGGTTCGGTTAGCAGTTGATTTCAGATTCCGCCCTTGTGCCACCTTACGATTTAAAAACTTGCCACACGAGCGTCGTCGCTACTGTGACTACTGTTTTTATAACAATCATTCGTGTCTTAGATGGGTTGTGTGCTTACTCAATTAGATGCCGATTTCCAGCTATGGTATCAAATGTCCATCCACCCATAACAGGCTATAAAAGTCCACTGCTGAACATAGGTCTCTCTAGGATTTTGAGTTATTATCAGGAAGGTGCTGCTGCCAATCACCTGTTTCAATTTCTCTTTGTCGCCTCTTACGACACCCACGGGACGATATGGGGTAGTGGATATTCTTACACTGCCACTACACGGTATCATATATATTATATAATAGCTTCAGTCACAGTTTTAACTATTGCTATTTGTGCACCATCAGACACAGACTTGTAAACTAAGAGTAAAAGGAAATGCGGGCCGAGAGACTTTTGAAAAGTTGGTATTTGTAGGAATCATCGCTGTCGCTTAGTGAGCGCACGGCGTTCGATAAGGACAACTCCAGATCCGACTGAATAGTCTAAGTAAAAAGGCATAATTCGAGGTTTAGCTCTCTACCGTTTCCTCCTCCAATATTGCACAATTTTAAAAGATATTACAGTATTCGTTATCAAATTTGAACACTAGGCCTCTGTTGGCAGCGGTCTAAGTAGGCAAATTTGAGCATTTTTAAGGGTTCTAGTGTTTATAAAGATGATGTATCATCAAAAAGGAAAACATAGGGACATAGAAGAGGTTAATATTTAGTTTTCTGTAAAAACTTGCTATAAAATTATAAACAAGAAAGAAAACAGGCGAGAGCGTTTGTATGGAGAAAAGACCACCCGCATTTCCTCTTAAGGACGTGTATGGGTCTAAGGTTTTAGCCTGTTACTTATGATATTATGATATTACCTACGATAATAATAGCTTTAATTTAAATAAGTTATAACCAATAAACCATTTTGATAATTTTAACAATAATTGAGTTCACTCAACCTCTTTAGCGCAAGTCGTATCATTTACTTCTGAACAGGCTCTTACATGGGTAAACATTGTTTCGGGTACGCGAGTCAGTGAAACAGAAGGCAGGACATCTTAGAGTATAAATGAGCTTGCAGGACATACATTAAAAACTAAATCGCTATTGGGTAATTTGACATTTGAATATTTGTATATTTTTATGTATCACTAGCTGTTCCCCGTGACTTAGCCCGCGTGTTATTTGGGGTTTTAATTTCATTGCGCGGAACCCTAATTCTTTTTCTAAAATAAAAGTAGCCTAAGTTACTACTTGTGACATCAGCTATCTGCCAGCCGTTTCGGAGATTAGCCGGAACAAACAGACAGACAGACAAACAAACAGACAAAAACTTTTAAAATTGTATTTTTGTTATTAGTACCGTATATACTTTCATATGCATTTAGTAAAAAGCTGTAATTTTGACATTACAAACAGACACCTTAATTTTATTTATTTGTATAGATATTTGTTGTTATAGCAGCAACAGAAATAAACATTCTGCATAAATTTCAACGGTCTACTTATTACGGATCATGAGATACAGCCCGCTCACAGACAGACGGACGGACAGCGGATGCTTAGTAATAGGATCCCGTTGGTTACCCTTCGGGTACGGAACCATAACAAGCAAATAGTTAATTGCGTAGGTATAGTTGGCCTGGACTCTGACTAATGAAAATAATTTCCGGTTAAAGGTTAAAATTACTCCAATTTACACTCTGCTAAGTATACCGTGTCAACTAACTTGTCGCCCTCGAAAGCGTTAATTCGCCCATTAACGGCTTCAAACGTAAGTCTGATTTTGTACTCATTTTTTTATTTAAGCTATATACATATATATATTTACGTGTTTTTTTTATTCCTTATTATCATTATATATATATATATATATATATATATATATATATATATATATAGCCATAATCCATTCTAATTCATTCGTCATTCATTATAGTCCGCTATATATAAAAAGCTATTGGTGTCCGTAAGTCTGGCTAAAGCGGCTCGACCGATTTTGATAATATTTTTGTGTGTTTGAGTGGGTCTCAGGATGATCTAAACGATTCACAATTGGACCCTGTTGACTTGACTGTTGCCAAGATCCAGAAATCAGCCGTGCGGAGCCGGGGCCGATGACTAGTAGATAATAAACAAAAAGGTACCTACAACTAAGTACATAGTTATGTACTCATAATATTATGTTGATCTCTATAAGTTCGTTGTCAATTAAATTGCTAGTCCGCAGTCCACTACAAAATAGTCAAGTCAATGTCATAAGGAGCGCATATTTTTAACCCCCGACTAAGTTTGCCAGAGTGGAAGATCAAAATATCTGGATAAATTTTGAAAATGTCGGGATTTAGGTGTTGTTATCGGGAGAATAAGTATTAAAAAAAAGTTTACTTTTTTAATTAAGAGACCACAAAAGTAATTTAAAAAAAACGAATTTAACTACACTTAATTTTTAGGTTGCCACATGTATTTGGCATTGGACTTTACTAGAGTCCACCAATTTGGATCCTTTAGTAGTATCACAGTTTTAAGACCTTATTAAATTGTCACAGTTTATGTGGTTCGGAAAAGATGTAAAATTCAAACAATTTACTTCAAAGTTCAGTCTCATTACTAACTCAGCTTTTATTAAATCAAAGGCCATACGTTAACTGTCTGAGAAGATGTTTGTCTGGAGATTTTGAGTTTTGTCGGGAGTCTGGAGATCATTTGAAATGTCGGGAGAATCCAGACGAATCCCGACCATCTGGCAACCCTACCGCCGACGCAAACAGGGGGGTATTATATGTTTAACGCGTGTATCTGTGTTTCTGTGTTTTTACCTGTGGTATCATAGTGCCCAAACGGATGAACCGATTTTGATTTAGTTTTCTTTGGTTGAGAGGTTACTTGATCGAGAATTTACTTAGCTGTGATTCAAGAAAATCTGTGCAGCCGTTTGAATATCTTTAGCTCTTTTTGTCTCGGAGTTTTTTAAAACTTTTAAGTTATATTTATTTTTGTTCAGTTTCGGCTTTTTCACTTCAACAGTCCCTATTCTATTGGCCCTATTTGAATTGTTGGTCTATTCAACTAAAGTTTGGCTCCCGGTAGAAATTCACTGCTAGACCTTTTCTATTATATCTTAAATATCTTTATTTCTTTGCCTCTTTGTCCTTCGGAACGGAACTTTTATAAATATAATGCTAGATGCTAACGAAACCTTTTATATTTAGAAGTTTTTTGTTTCATTTGTATGAACAATAGATGGCTAGTAAAATCAAGCGTTAAGAAAAAATGAAGCCCTTATGGTTTTCCTCTGCGCAACATACTCGCGCATCTCATGGCGCGATATGAATAATGTAATATAAGTCATATAGGTATTTTTATGTCTTATAGTTAGGGCTTATTGTGGGATGTGGGGGAGTTATTTCTGTCACGGATAATTGAAATTTAGAATTAGCCAGCCTTTCGGTTTTCTACAGGATTCATTTCGGAGAGTGTGCGCAGGAATTGCATAATTTAATTCCTTACTCTCCCTTCCACTATCGGACAACCAGACGTTCGGCCAGTCTACACCATTTCGTTGTCGACTTACCACGCATTCGAACCAAACGGTTTGCTTCATCGTTCATCATGCGTACAGCAAAGAAGTGGAATAAGTTGCCAGCATCTGTCTTTCCATTCGATTACAACGTCGCCTGTGTCTGCAAGGCAAGAGTGAATAGGCGAAAGAAATGGTCTGTATTTGTTTTTGTATATATATCTATATATCTATTTTATCAGAAACTAGATTGTATACCCCGCGCGTTGCTGCTGCAGAAGAAATAATTGTGGCAATATCGTGTCAAATTTGGAAGAGTTATATTGTTTAATTATGAATGATAGTACATTGATTGAAGTTGAAATATAAATCTTAAGTTAATTGTACTATACCTATAACTTTTGCGCAAGTGCAAGCAATAAATTGACAAAGTTTTACTGCAATCTGATGACGCTGCCATTGCGCATTAACCCTAGAAAGATAATCATATTGAGTTATACGTAAAAGATAATCATACGTAAAATTGACTCCTTAGTTTTGAGAGGTTGTTAAATGAAGAGTTTTATAATGATTCAAGTAAAACAAAAGTATTAGTTTTCTACTACCGTAATCAATTAATAATACTACCGTTTACTTATTTATATTTATTCATTTTATAATAAAAAAACAAAAATTACAAACTTCTCAATAATCAACAAAACTTAGGAACTTCTTTTTTCTTTTAAAGCCTTTTCATAATCTTATCATAAATGAGTATTTTTATATCATATTCTAAAGTAATAAAAAACCAAAATTAAAAAATAACATGAAAATTGTTTAAAATAATCAGTCAAAACAGTTTATGCACATATCAACATTATGCTGTCGGCAAATAACAGCTTTACATTTTTTGCACATGGCATTTGCTTTATTTTAGAGGGGCAATATTTACAGTAGCCACGTTTTTTGGCTACTGGCTCTATATATATATATATATATATATATATATATATATATATATATATGTATGAGTGCCCAAGAGCCAACAGAAGAGGATACACTCTTCTGTTGGCTCTTGGGCACTCATTTGTAACAAATTATTTGTAATAGTGTCCCGCAAATATCTCTTCAAAGTAGGTGCATCCAACCGCTTTCTCATGAACGGCGATGTCAGGGCCGTGCTCAGGTTTTCCATGAATTTTTTGCGATTCAATGCCTTCTCACCTTTGGTAGCAACATTGTGAGTGTATATTACATACGCATTTATACAGGCAATGTTTAACATTCCATAAACACCGGCCGCACATTTTTGTCGTCCATTCTAAGGCATCGGATCAAAAAATCAAAACGATCACGACTCATCACGGAGACATATAATGTTGAAGAAGATCGGTCGAACAACTCATCCGTCGACATATGGTTATCTTTTCTCATTTCGGTCATTACCAAGATGCCGATCAAAGCACGGATTTCATTCTCACATGTGTCTTTGAATGTAGCACTAGTCATAGTTTCTCGTCTTTTGAAGGATATTTCAGCATTGGTCCATCTTACAATTTCGGAAATTATTTCATCAGTAAAGAAGATGTTGAAGCATAAAACAGGGTCATAAATATTACGGCACATGCGTTTTGGACCCCTTTGAGACCTGACGATGTTCTGTGCTGAGACACGACCACGTCTTGAAGATTTTGAGGTTGACCAGCAATGTTTATTTTTACCTCTGATAGTTCTTCGTGACGGAGTTATTATTCGACGAGAAGCTGTTGAGGGAGTTCCTTGATCAGAGCTTTCTTCCCCCATGGGGTCAATTTCGAAAAAAGTTGCTGCTTCTTCTTCCCTCACTGCGTCCACAAAATCTTCTTCCTCATCGCTCTGGATGTCATCCTCGCTCTCGTGGTCTTCAACTTCGCTGTCGGTGTCAGCATAGGGTGGCTCCTCATCACTATCTAAAAGAGCGGCCAGGATGTGGTCTTCATCCAAATTTCTAGTCCCCATTATGGCTTAGCAGTATCACGATAACTAAAAAATAAAAACAATATCAGAAATAAATAAAAATAACTAATGCAATAAAAAAACAACACAAATAACCATTTCACCAAATATCGTAAAAGTCACGTAAAAGATAATCATACGTAATTTTGACTCCTTTGACTATCGTATCTCAAAATGACGGGCACTTACCTCAATGACGTGATTGCCCCACGCTAGGTCCCAGCGGTGAATGAAATGTCTGAAAAGCACGACGCCGGATTCGCAATAATTAAAAAGAGACGGCAGTATTTTGTTCGCGTGGGAGTCATTTTGACGTAGATTATCTTTCTAGGGTTAAATACGAACAAACAAACATAAATTTTTATATATCAGATAAGATATTAAAGGATTTTAGCTGTGTGTGAGGTTTTACTCTAATAAGGATACGACGCATTTATAAATAGTTTGTGTTGCCAAAAGGATACCAAAAAATTTCCAGCACATCGCGAAAATATGCTAACTCGGCTTAATTTCATGTAGGAACGTGCCACAACACCACAGAGACCTTTAGATAACTCTGCTTATCTCATTTAAGATATTTTAATAAAGCTACCAATGTCTCACCCGAGCGGCTCAAATAACAAATATCCCTCCAGGGCGCTAAGGTTGCGCGCTTTGCCTCATTTCAGTTCGCATATTTAGCAATTTAATTTTGTAGGCAGTATTTATTCCAAGTGAGCACTGCGCTAAACAAACAATATAAAAAGGAGCGTTGAGCAAGAACATAGTTACAAAGTCCTTATGTTTGTAGAGTTTAATAAAGTAACATAAAATACACTGGTAGCTGTTGTGTGTTGCCGACGTTAGATAATACATCGCCTCGTTTAGTACCGTGGGTGTGTCCTTAAACCTCAGGGATAAGAACGAATCTGCATTTTGATTTAAGCGAGGCAAAATTCCAATAGGCCATAGCAATCATTACCATCATGTTGACTGTGTTTTTGGCTCCCGTAATTATATGAAATAGTAATTTCATAAGCAAATTATTTATCAATCTGAGACAATTATCGTAAGATAATTCAGAACATCATCGTGTACTTACGGAGTAAATAGCAAGCTAAATGCTTTTGCGGTTTGTATACCTAGCGATAGAGGAGAGCCGGACTTTTTATTGGTAACCAGGTATTCCATTTTATTCCTCAGCGTTTATCAATCAAAGATGGAAAAACGCTAAAAAAAAAGCATTGAGCTTGCTATTTTACGCTGGCATTCTGTGAGAGCGTGGTCCTTCCGCGGTCGAGCCGACCCATGCTACAACTATACTAGTAATTTAGATGCAGCATGGCTCTACCACGTATAAGAGATACTGTATCATATTGTTCATGTGCACCAAAAATGAAATAATTTATGAACATACATCACTTTTCTATACAAACCACATTAGCAAATTAAATGAAAGCATTTCGATCACGTTCGGGGATGTATGAGCTAAGATGCCTTTGCCTTCCCTACACGGGAAAATAGAAGGAAAGATTTTAGGAAAATAAGAGTATTATTATGATTGCTATTTCGTCAAAACTCTCACAACCGGGCTATCCAACTAGGCTTAACTATAGATACATAGTTAGATATAAACGTACACAGCTAAATATAAATGAATATCTCATATCGATATGAGATTTTTGTATCGGGAGCACACAAAGGTACTTTGTGATCAACTGACGCCACGAACAGCTCGGGGTTTTCATATCCTCTTCTAGATAGGTTTCTCTTATAGATAGTTTATTGAAGTAGGTTAAAGTTATTTATTTTGTTATATTATTATCAATCCTTTGCTGAGCGAGATTCTCTCAAAATGAAAAGATTTGACAGTTTCTTCTTCCTTCTTCTTTAACAAACCCGGAAAAATTATTTGTAGGTTATACAAGAATTTGAAATTGTAGACATTGTAGGATATGAAATCGATTTAAGGTTTTTCGCAAAGTTCTTTTAATTTATTAACTGATGAAACATTCATGACGTAGATATATATATATATATATGAAAATCAATTGCTGTCCGTTAGTCTCGCTAAAACTCGAAACTGGCCTGACTGATTGTGATGAAATTTTTTGTGTGTTTGAGTGGTTTAAATTCACAACTGGACCCGTTAGGTGCAGTAGTTGTCGAGATCAAGAAATCACCCGCTCGAAGCCGGGGCTGATCACTAATTTATAATATTAATAAGAGAAGATAGTTTTTCTACGTGGTAAAGCCATGATGCAGCTATATTAGTAGTATAGTTGCAACACGAATGGATCGGCCCGACTGGGGAGTGACCACGCTCTCACTGAATACCAGCGTCAAATAGCAGCTTAACACTGCTGTGTTTAGTATGGTGAGTGTAGAGAACCGGAAAACCTTTTTACTGGAAAGGAGGCATCCTTCTTAGTCCTCACGGGTGACAGCGCATCTACATTTTGATTCTTTATTGGATTGAACAGATAGATGTAGACGTCTATGGGTCACAGCAACCACTTACCATCAGGTGGACTGTGTGCTCGTTTGTCACTCTATCCTATAAAAAAAACATCTGTGAGTGTCGTGGAACAATCGGTTGGAACGAAGGTCTTTTCCATAGTATATTATTATTGATAAACGTATTATATTATTCATTAACACATTCAAATAAATTAATTACTAGTGCAAGTGAAGTGAAGCATCATTTAAAATACAATTATATTTCTTTCATGACAAAATAAGAACAGTTCGAGGGAGATGGATATTATTCCATCTCGTTTCCTATCCTTATAGCCGCCAAGGCCGTCTACACTATGTAAGAAGGGGTCGTGACGGAAAAATCTTTAACTTTTTCTCGCCTAGCTCCCATCCACAAAATTCCGATAAGGAACTTCGTTCCAAAAACAAAAAAACAAATTGTAACTTTTATTAGATGCACTGCAAGCTGCACTGCTTTGCCAAGCAGTGCAGCTTGCATAAGGGTTTTCAAATTTAGTAGAATTCCGCATGATCGTAGAAAGAAGCACGGGAAGATAACAGCTGACACTTCCATTCTCATATTTGAAACCACTGTTCCCTCCGGCAGTGTTTTTGTTTTATTCAGACACAAAACACATTGTGCATTTTAAAGTGTTTATCTTTCATTCTGTAACCAACTGTGCTCGTGTTGTGGAATATCCGTCTACAACATGACTTTGCGGATATGACGTGTGACTGCGTGTTGATTCCTTCTATGCGGTTCACTGACTTTGTGTTTTGATGTTTAGGCAGGGTGGGGTGGTATTACGAATATACGAGTTATTGTCGCGTGTGCGGTGTGCGGACCTAGTGAAGCCTCGCCATTTGTCGATTTGTATCAAGTTTTGCCAACGGCTTTTGATTGTGATTTTTATGGGTTCTTCACGGAGTACATTATGTTCTTATTGCTTTGTGTTATGTACGCTTTATAAGCTGTTTTACATTACCTTTTCCGTTAAATTGTTGTCCTCATTTTTTTTGTACACTGTTAATTTTTTTTTAAACTAATATTGCTTTTAAATTATGAAATAAGTATATAATAAATAAAAGAATAACATATTCTAAAATTAAAAATTTTGTACAACCGACTTCAATATAAATTATTAAGTATAACTCTAAATAACTAAGCTATTGGTCAGACCTTGATCAAATTTATATGCGACCACATGTCAAGCACTAGTTTTCAAATGAAAAAGAATCATCGAAAAAGGTTCGGTCAAAAAAAATTATGAGGTAACACACTAAAAAAACATACAGGAACAAACTTGTGTCTGAAGTCGAGTCTTTGCTGAACACAGTCTCGGATTGGGGGCGACTAAATCTAGTCCAGTTTAATCCTCAGGAGACACAAGTTTGCGCGTTAACCGCTAAAAAGAACCCCTTTGTCGTATCTCCTCAGTTTCAAGGCACTCCCCTTCTTGCCTCAGCCAGTATCGGTATCCTCGTAGTCGACATATCGAGTGACGTGCAGTTTCGTGGTCACTTGGAAGACAAGGCCAAATTGGCCTCTAAAAAGCTTTGCGTGCTCAGCAGAGCGGGACAGTATTTCATGCCGGCGCACCGCCTGCAACTTTACAAGGCGCAGGTTCGGCCTCACATGGAATACTGTTCCCATCTCTGGGCAGGGGCTCCCCAGTTCCAGCTCCTTCCACTTGACCGCATCCAGCGCAGAGCGGCTCGAATCGTCGACGACCGAGCCCTTTCCGATCGGCTCGATTCATTGGCACTGCGATCTTCGCATGTTGCATCCCTTTGCATTTTCTTTCGCATCTACCATGGGGAGTGCTCTGAGGAATTGTTCGGATTAATCCCAGCCGCCAAATTTCACGAACGCACATCGCGGCAGAACTCCCGATATCATCCACACCATCTGGATGATTGGCGGTCCACCACTGTGCGATTTAGAAGATGTTTTCTTCCTCGCACGACTTCCTTGTGGAATCAATTACCATCGGCGATTTTTCCGGACCGATACGACTTAGGGACCTTCAAAGAAAAGAGCGTACTCCTTTTTAAAAGGCCGGCAACTTATCTGCAATTCCCTCCCTGGTGTTGCAGTTGTTCATGGGCGGCGGTAGTCACTTACCATCAGGTGAGCCGCATGCTCGTTTGCCCCCTCTCCTATAAAAAAAAAAATACAGTCGAATTGAGTACCTGCTCCTGTTTGAAGTCGGTATAAAAATATACGGACAATATAAGAGTAAACTGTATTTTTTTGTATTTGAAGAAATGTTTTATTCGCTTTCTGTAAATGTCAGTTTAATGTATGGCTATGAATTTTTTTTTATATACATAAAGTCAACCTTCCATTCCACCTTATGGATAGAAGCTTCTGCTGCCCAAGGACACCTGACACCAAATTAAAATAAGCTGGTACGCTGGTATTCTGTGAAAGCGTGGTCCTTCCTCGGTCCAGTCGACACATACGTATTGCACCCAAAATACACTTTAGTTGGGCTCTGCCATTTTTATACTTGTGTCTTTTAAACAAAGTCAGTACATTTTAC